ACCACACACACCCATATTTTGTTTTCAAACTCCAATGCGGTTTATTTCACACCTCAAATATTTAGTAAACAATTAAACAAGTAAAAGTAAACTGCAATAAATTACAGGTAGTAATAAAATATACTACTAACTATTTTACACTACGTCCACACCTACACGGGTATTTTTGAAAACGCAGCTGTTTCTATGCGTTTGGGCTTTTGGCTTGGCTTGGAAGGAAATTGGTTTGGAAACATATTTGGCAATGCTTCATCTCCTGCTTTACATTTGTGTGGGAGCCCCGTCAAAAACCTGTCCATTATGCTAGCAGTGTCCAAGCTCTTTCTTTTTTTTTGTACTGCACCCCCCCTGCAATGGCTCTGCTCCCCCCCAGGGGGCGGGCCTCACACTTTGGGAACCTCTGTTATTGTCCAACGTATTTACCTCCATCCGGTGCTCCCTCCCATTCTATGAATTGATGAGGCAATCGTGTCGTATTCTGGTCAGTGGCAGGGGAAAGATGTCCCCCGAGCTAACCATCACTTCTCTGAAATTCCTTCAGCTTTTCTTTAGCTCTCTGCCCTGGGAAGTAGCTTGCTCTCTTCGAGAGAATGAGACCCGTTTCCACAACACTTTCTAAACAGCGCATCCTCCTCTTCAGTCGCTGTTGGGATCCGCACGACATATCCCCGCCTCTGCAGCTCCAGAGCCGCGTCGCATGCACTGCTGTAGTATCTAACTCTGTCCAGCCAGTGGATCTGCATACACGTATATGGAGTTTGGAAGTGCACGCCCATGTCCTATAATGTCCGTTTGACTTCTCTGCATTGTTTCCGCTTTTGGACAGTATCTGATGCATAATCATTATCAAACTAGATCATCTTGCCATTCACCTGGACTTGCTTCTTCGTCCAAGCTTTTTGGAGTGTAAGTTCTTTCGTTGTGAATTCCTGGAAATTAACAAGGACTGGTCACGGGGGGTCTCCAGGGTGCGATTTCTGTGCGGGGGCACGGTGGGCCCGCTGGATCTTGAGCTCCAGCCCATCTGGCATAGGTAATTTGTGCTGAAGCAACTCTTGGACAGATTTCCCCTCAGCGCTATCTTCCACTCCAAACATGCGTATATTGTTTCTGTGGGAATTTGATTCTAGATCTGCCAGCTTGTTTTGGATCAATTTCTGTGCTTTTAGGGTTTGGAAGAGCACTTCGGTTAGCTCCAGTGTCATGTCTTCAATGTCTTCTCAGACATTCATTATCTTGTTTGATTTCTGATTTCAATGATTCGATACCCTTAGTAACTCACCAGCTGAATTGCTAGCTATGCTAACGGGGCTCATGCTAGCTTGTCCTGTCACGATGCTAGTATTAGGAAGTGGCTTTATCCTGTCCCTTTGGCATTTTGAGTTCCCTTTGCCTTATTCCGTCACCAGCTGCATTTCTCTTGCCCAGTTGAATTGTCTGTTAATGAGTTTCGGTGTTTTTCTATCAAGGTTGTGGGGAGCAGCCACCGAATAGGTCCACTCACTACGTCATGACACCAGAAACTGCCCCAAATTTTTTTAATATGACTTTGGTAAGCTACGGAGCCACACCACTTAGATTGTCGTAGGATTGCGGCTACCGTAAACAAGAGCCTCACGGAGTAATCTGGGTCCAAAACTCCTTTTGCTTTAGATCCCAAAGTCAAACAATAGTATGGGATCAAAAAGTGTCTCTTTTTTGTTTCAAACAGAGATTTCTGAAAAATTAAAATGTACAGCTCTGCTCTCACATCCAACATAAATGAAGACAGAAACTAAACAGCAGTGACATTTGCAGGATTACTGAAGTTGGGCTAGCTGGTATATAATGATGTGCTACGTGATCGCTAGCAAAACAGCTATGTTAGCATAACATAAACATAGTGAAGCTGGAGGATGAACGCTAACTTTTTCCCCACTCTATAGAAGTTAATGTGAGGGTTCCCAATGGTTAGGGACAACTGTAATCGCATGGCAGGATGCTGTAAACGAACCAAACTTCAGTCAGAAGAACAACTGAGAATTCATCCACAATACGAGGTTAGTCATTAATATACTGCAACAACATGGGAACAGAGCAGCTGCGAGAGAATTCAACATTAATGAATCAATGTTATGGAAGCAGAGGAAGCAAGAAGAATGAGTTGAGTAAAGTTTGACTTATCTGACTGCTTTGTTTCACTTAATGTACCTTATAATCCCGTGCACCTTATGTATGAAAACAGACCCATTCATCAGCAGTGTACCTTATGATCTGGTGCGCCTTATGGTCCGAAAAATACGGTATAAGTCTTGCTTAGGCCCACACAAAGTCCTGAAAGATCAGGTCCTATAGCTATTAGTACCAGACTATTCTGTAAAAAGCATTACGTAGTCCAGGCTTATTTGTGCTTCCTAGATGTGCCTAAAACAGAATAGAGATTAGGCTCTGTGGAATCACCTCGCAATTTAAATTCAGCAAAGGCCTGGGCGATATCAGGAAAATCTAATATTGTAATATTTTAGCATTTTTTGTTGCGATTCAAGATATATATCATGAAGTGTTTGAATAACTTCCAAAAACATGTTATTTTCAACTGTATAGTGAATAAAATTGCACTGGTATACTCATTCAAATCGACCATTCAATATTTTTTTCTACTTTGAATACAATAAATCTGAATGAATTGACATGTTTTATTTCAATCATTTTTAACCATCAGTTGTACACAGACGTTTTTTCCAAATGACAATACTGTGACAGTAACTTTCTGTGGTCAACATTAGAGCTTTAACAAACTGAAGATCATAACAACAAGAAAGTACATCAAGCAAGAATTCGCAAGACAAAATAAAACGAGTGAAATTAGAAAGGCTCTTTTTTGTGCTTATAACATATAAAAACAGTAAAATTAAAAATGCAATGACCTCATATTACAGAAACAAAAGTCTAGATAGTGACTAAAAGCGACTGACCAAGAGCAGTCACAGGTATCACAGCTGGTTTATTCAATATTTTCTTTGGTGTGCAGGGAGATGTTGACATGCAAAGTTTAAAACATTCTTCATTTTGCAGTTGAAGGATAAATGGACTAGACTGATTCTTATATAGCGTGTTTCTACTCTCCCAGAGTACTAGAAGCGCTCTATACAACATGCCACATTCACCAAATCACACCCATTGGCACAAGCACTTCTAAACAGAGTGCTTACGAACTACATTCATACTCCGATGGACGCATCGGAGAGCAACTTGGGGTTAGTATCTTGCCCAAGGATACTTGACACGCAGACTGGAGGAGCCAGGAATCGAACCACTAACCTTCAAGATCAGTAGGTGACCTACCTACCTCCTGAACTACAACCACCCCCAGTGGATGACCTTTCAGCTGGTGGAATAAATTTATGGCACTGCTACCCTTTGTAGCAATAGTTTTATGGCATGTTTTACAGCAAATTACTGCATTTTGTTTGGCATCCTCCTTGTTAAATCACAAAACAAAACAGTGAATTACATGCACATAGCTTAATATTGCCATGGGAATTT